GAAATTCATTTGCACTTGAAACATGTATGCAGTATGAAATATTAAACATGAGCACAAAACGTTTCAGTTTTGTAATCATTATAAGCGTTCAAAAAAACGATAATGCTCAATTAAGGCGCGACAGTGTGCATATACTGTGTGTGTGTGTGTGTGTGTGTGTGTGTGTGTGGTACTGAGACGCAGCAGCGACTGCTAAACCTGTTAGAGCGGCACATGAGGAGTGCAGAGCTCTACCACCAGCACTGATCAAGGACACACACACACACTGCTGCGCTGGAGGACACACACACACACACACACACACACACACACACTGCTGCGCTGGAGGACACACACGCACACACACGCACACACACACACACACTCTCTGTATTTCTCTGTGATTGCTTTACATCTGTTGACTGTTTGAGATGTGCACCGTGTGGAATTCTGGGTGATGAAATGAGAACCGGAGCTGTTCAGGTGTGAAGAAGAAGAAAACGCCTCGTGGTTCCATCCCAAAGAGGGAAAAAATCACTTTCGCGAACGCTCACGCTCAATCTGCCCAGTTGGTGGAAGGAACTCCCTAACTGCATCAGAACAGCAGAGTCACTCGCTATTTTCAAGAAACGACTAAAAACTCAACTATTTAGTCTCCACTTCCCTTCCTCATCTGCAATTGCCTCTCTGAATATCACACTAACTGTACAAAAAAAAAAAAAATACTAACCCTTCCCTTCTTAGACTTTACAGACCTGAAACTTGCCTTTAGTACTTCTTCATTGTTGCTCTTAGTTGTGTAAGTTGCTTCCTTGTCCTCATTTGTAAGTCGCTTTGGATAAAAGCATCTGCTAAATGACTAAATGTAAATGTAAATGTAAATGAAGATCAGAGTGTGTGAGCGCGCGCACACTGACCGTATTTACATACCTTTTTACATGTTTTACACACTGCACACAACACAACATCACAGAGCTCAGAGTGTTGCTGTGCGTCTCGCTGCGCATCTGTGACAGAGACGGCAAGTGTGTGTGATGATCCAGAGCCACGGCATCCAGAGTAATGTCAGCAAGAAGAAGAAGCACATCCAGCAGGGGGAGCTGTGGAGGCCAGAGGAAGCTGTCTGAAAGAGCCGTCCGGCTGCCCGTCCGCCGTCACCCTCACTGACCTTCCCACATCCAGGAGAGTTACGGTGTGGAGAAGCCCCACAGAAGCGGCCCACCCAGACCACTGATGCCCAGAGTCAAGCATGGGGGGGTCACTGATGGTTTGGGCTCATGGTGTTCTCTCGGCCCAGTATTGGGCTAGATGGGCGCTGGGTCACTGCCAAGAACTACCCAACCATTCTGGAGGAGCAGATGACCCGATGGGTCAAACACTGTCTCCTGAAGGTGGTGGTGTGTGTCAGGATGATGATGCAGCGACACACACAGCAGGACTGGAGACAGAGTGCTCTGATGAACATGACAGTGAAGTTGATGGCCTGCACAGTACCCAGAACCAAACATTATTGAGCACTTTGGGCTTTTTTGGAGGAGCGAGTCAGGAGAGGGTTTTCTCGCGCAGTGTGTGTGTGTGTGTGTGTGTGTGTGTGTTTCCTGTCAGCTGACACTAGTGCAGCGCTGCTCCTGAAGCTCTCAGTCTTGTGCTGCCGTGACCTCTGACCCCTGTGAGCCGCACCGTGACCTCTGACCCCTGCGCCGCTCTGCTGTGTGTCCACCACTGTCAGCGTTTCTCGCTCCGCCACACACAACAGCAGGAGAGCAGCGGTGGAGTGTTAGCAGAGCTGCTGCCGTCAGAGCGCATCACACACACAGTCTCTGACAGCCATGTGTGTGTGTGTGTGTGTGTGTGTTTGTGTGTGTGTGTTTGTGTGTGTGTGTTTGTGTGTGTGTGTGTGTACGTGTTTTTGTGACATATCAGGACACAAATCTGTATAATGACATGGGTATGACACAGGTATTACAAAAAGGAGGTGAAATATGAGGACATTGGTGACATCCTCATTTCTCAAAATGCTTATAAATCCTACAGAATGAGTTTAATCAGAGAGTAAAGCTGCACACAGTCTCCTGTGATGGTTGGGTTTAGGGGTGGGGTGGGGTGAGGGCAATATAATATACGGTTTGGGCTGCATAAAATGAATGGAAACCTATGTAATGTCCCCACTTTTCACAAAAACAAACGTGTGTGTGTGTGTGTGTGTGTGTGTG